TAAGACGGTGACAGAGGCAATAATGTGACATAAAAGTAGTTGAGACCAAACTGTCTGATGACTCTGTGATTACATCCCCTAAACTCTCTTTCACTTTTTTTCTTTTTGCTAATCCTATTAGAGTTGCCACTCCACCATTCCATCCTTACATTTGATTGCACCCATCACAAGTACAAAAAACACACTTTAAAAGTGGAGCATTAAACGAATCAAACACATTAAGAACCCATTTTGAAATGTTTGCTGCAGTTGTTTTTTCAAACAATTCACCCAATACCAACTTTTTCTGTACAATCACAAAATTGTCTAGACTGAATCGACACACAAGTCCGATGATCTCCTTTCCATTTTTATGTGTTGAGTCTATTACGATTCCATAATACACACCTATGAAATAATTGGATAATATCCTCTTTGTCCTCTTTTCCTAACAGCGAAATCACTTTTAGATTAGTTCTGTGACTAATATGAATTCGAGATGATAGTTCCATTTGATTTTTTTCGTCCAAAAATAGATATATGAATACGTCTACTATTTCAGCAACAACATGATTCTGACTTTGAGACATCCCAACACTGTTTTCCAGGGTGCTGACAATTAAAGTAAATATCTTACTTTTGATGTTGATGACTGAAGATTGTTCTTTTTGTTTTTGGTGTTTGATCAATAAAAATACCGACTAATTTCTTGGATATATCCAAAGCTTTTATATTTGATGACAATAATTTGGTCATTTCTCTTGTTAATTTGTTATACAACTTTTGTGTTTTTGTAACATGTAAATTTTTATTTACATCACTATTGTTGTTAAACGTTTCGTCTTCTTTTTTAATAATTTCATTTTTTAAAGATTCTTCGCATTCCATTGAAATTGTGTTGTTAATGTTTGGTCCATCCATTTTTGTTTGACATTGAGTGTTGATGACACAATCCATTCCAGATAAAACTTCGTTATTATTAAACATTGAAATGATGTTATTATTAATCATTTTTTTCAATTTGTGGATTGCCCTCCTTTTTACTTTCATCTTCTGTTTCACAATCACAATCAATTTCAGTCATTTTCTTAAACTCATCAACACTTATAAATCACATTTATCAAACGTTTGATTCACCGCAGTGCTCAAAGTATTTATTAATGTGTTTTTTCTAAAACAAGAGTACTCTTAATAATAGTTTTTCTGGGTCGAGAATGTATCGTTTCATTTAAATAGTTATCAATCGATTTCTGAGCTTCTTCAATGTAGAGTTGTTTTCTTGCTTCAAAGTCTTCTTCAAACACTTTCAACTTAGGTTGACTATAATATACACATGATTTATAATGAATTAAATTGCAATTTTACCAAAACATCTCGAACAAAATGGACAGTAGTATACAACACCATGAGTAGTGTAGACCGGTATAGTTTTGTATTTGATAATGTTCTTTCTAAAGATATTTTCTCGTCTGTTGTTTGTATCTCTTTGTTGTTTAACAGGCTTTTCCATTTACTACTTTGTGTTTTTAAGTTTTATTTTTTCATTTTTCAAAAACCAAATCTATTCATATGTTTACTATAAAATTATGATTTTTATTAACAACTTACAAAGGGTTTTTGTATTTTTAACATAAAATACTTGTTTATTTAGATAAAAAAACAGGTATTTATCACAATAAAAAAAATAAAATTTTTTCAATTAAATCGATCATTTTTTTGATTTTTTGATTTTTTTACTTGAAAAATGTTAACTCGCCCTTTATGGGAATAATTTGATGAACCCTGAAACAAGTGTAAATTCGTAAAAAGGAACATTCCAAACAACTCAAACCATATATTGGTTTTTATTTTATAGTTTTTAACAATTTATAACTATAATACGAAACAATACATCAAAACATAATTACAAAAACGAATTAGTTAGGACATCGAAAATTTGAATAAATAGTCCATTTTTTGGAAATTATTATTTGAAATTTGATTTCTGTTTAGCTAGTCGATATTTTATACTGGGAATATTCAAATTATTAACTTTTATTGTATAAACATAATTTTTCATCAAAAACAATATGTTTTATCGTATTAATTATATAGAAATGCACAGTAATATAAACTCGAATAATTTTAGATTGAATAAACGTATTAACATTTATATTATTATTAAAACAACAATTGCAATACAACAACAAAATAAATTAAATACAAAAACACGTTATAAACATATCATATTAATAAATTAATAAAAATGAATATATTTGATGATAACAAACGGTTAACGAGTGTGGGTTTTTCGGATGGTCGATTATTTTATCACACCATTTTAAAATCTAAATAATTTGTTGAAATGAAAGAATTAAGTTGTTTGGGGTTCTGGTGTATTAACCCTTTTAAAATAATAGTAATTTATAATAAAATTATGTTTAATTTTTTGATGAGTTAAATTATATGATAATAATTATTAAAAAAATAGTTTCACATTTAAAAAATAAATTATAATTTATTGTTGTTTTATTATAAATTTTTGTAATTGTTTGAAGATGTTAAATAAACTTGCACTTTAATTAGCTATTTCACTTTTTTGTTGTTTATTATATTTTAATTAAATTTATATTATAATAATAGTTCATTGTTTAAATTATTTGATGTGAATTGTGATTGTATTTCCAAAACATTTCACAATCAAAATAGCAAGTGGTCATACAACCAACATGTCAAGTATTTATTGAACAGTTTATATATTACAGGTGTCGCTATTTAATACATAATTATATTGTTTATTTGTTTTGTTTTTAAACCATTTTTTGTGTCACGGTGTGACGGGTTAGATTCTTTCTTTGTTTTTTTAATAGAAAAATCAACGACTCTCATAAAACACAAACAAGACATG